CGGGAAGAGTTGCTTTTTGCTTGCTTTTCTTTTGTGTGTAAGGTTTTTTAATAGGATAAATTGAAGCCCAGGATCAGAGGCCTAGCACAAAAGAGTGATATCATAGGTTAACCATCAGTTCATTGGTTGATGTGGTCACTAATTTGACTGTCTATGATAGATTACTTTCAGATTGAAGGTAAATAGGGGAAATATTTTCTGGCTATAAATTAAAAGACCAGCAGGAAATTACTAAAAATCAATTCAAAACTAAGTGCTTAAAATGGAGATGCCAAAGCAAGTGAATGTGTTGTGACTGCATGACATAGGAGCTGGTGGACTCCACTGTGGTTCATAGTGACCTCATCTGCAGCAAGTGTTGGTTGCTTTAGTGACTCCAACTCAGAGTTGATGAGCTGGAGTCTGAGCTTCAAACACTGTGACATATCAGAGTAACCTGTACTCTGTTTCAGGAGGCAGTCACGCTGTTTGAGATTAACTACCTCGGATTCAGTGAGTTGTCACGCAGGTGAGCTGGGTGGCTCTGGCGAAACCCAAACTGGGTGTCACTGAGCTGGAGCTGCTTCATAGCACTGTTGATGACACCTTCCATGACTTTAGTGTTGATTTGAGAGTAGGTTGATGGGATGGTAATTGGCTAGATTGGATCTGTCCTGCTTTTTGTGTACAGGACATTCATGGGCAATTTTCTACATTGTTGGGCAGATGCCAGTATTGTAACTGTACTGGAAGAGCTTGGATAGGGGAGAGAAGTTCTGGAACACAAGCCTTCAGCACCAGCCTCCAACCATTTCTTGATATTGCGTGGAGTGAATCAAATTGGCTAAAGACTGGTATGATGCTGGGGACTATAAAAGGCTGCAAGTGTTTCAGCCTGATCTTTTGCACTGATGTGTTGGCCTCTTCCATTATTCAGCATCTCTTTATATCTGAATTATGTGCATCCTAGGCAACAACCAGGTGAATCTCTTCTGTACCAACATTCTTCCTGTAGTGTGGTGACAGGAACTGCACACAGTACTCCAGCTGTAGCCTATCAAATATTATATAACTGCTTCATGGCATTCAATGTCTTGACTAATGAAGGCAATAATGGTCTATTATGTATTCGTAGCCTGTCATGTATGAATGTAATTTGGACAATGCTTATACAATTATTATAAAGTCATAGTCCTACAGCATGGAGACAGGCCCTTCGGCCCAACTGGTCCGTGCCTACCAAAATGTCCATCCATGCTAACTCTATTTCCCTGCAGTTGGCCCATATCTTTCTAACGCTTTCCTATCCATGTATTCGTCCAGGTGCCTTTTAAATGTTGTTAATGTACCTGCCTCAACCAGTTCCGCTGGCAGCTCATTCCATATGTGTACCACCGTCTGTTAAAAAAAAAGTTGCCCCTCAGGTTCCCATGTATTCTTTCCCCTCTTACCTTAAACTGATGCCGTCTAGTCCTCGATTCCCCAACGCTGGGAAAAAGACCGAGTGCATTCATCCTATCCATACCAATAAATTTCTCATATACTTCTATAAGATTCCCCCTCAGTCTCCTACACTCTAAAGAAAAAGTCCTAGCTTGTCCAACCTGTCTCTATAATTCAGTCCCCTGAGTCCTTGCAACATTCTTGTTACTCTCCTCTGCACTCTTTCCAGTTTAATAACATCCTTCCTATAGCGAGGTGACCAAAACTGAACACAATACTCCAACTGCATCCTCACCAAAGTCCTGCACAACTGCAACATAACTTCCCAACTTCTATTCTCAATGCCCTGACTGATTAAGGCCAGTGTGCCAAAAGCCTTCTTAATTGCCCTGTCAACCTGTGACTCCATTTTCAGAGAACCGTACACCTGAACGCCAAGGTCCCTCTGTTCCACCACACTCCTTAAGGCCCTACCATTCACCGTGAATATCCGACCTTGATTTGACTTTCCAAAATGCAATACCTCACACTCATCTGTATTAAACTCCATTTGCCATTTCTTGGCTCATTTCCCCGGCTGATCAAGACCCTGCTGCAATTTCTGATAACCTTCCTTACTGTCCATGATACCGCCTATTTTAGTGTCATCTGCAAACTTACTAATCATGCCTTGTACATTCTCATCCGAATCATTGACATAGATAACAAATAGCAATGGGCCTAGCTCCGTCCCGAGGCACACCACTAGTCACAGACCTCCAGTCTGATAAGCATCCTTCCATTATTACTCTCCGCTTCCTACCATCAAGCCAATTGTGTATCCAATCTGCCAGCTCTCCTTGGATTCCATGCAATCTAACCTTCCAGAGCAGCCTACCATGTGGAACCTTACCAAAGGCCTTACTGAAATCCATATAGACGACATCTACCGACCTGCCCACTTCATCAAAGAACTCCAACAAATTTGTGAGGCATGATCTCCCACAGACGAAACCATACTGACTACTCCTAATCAAACTCTGTCTTTCCAAATGCATGTATAGCTTATCCCTCAGAATCTTCTCATGTAACTTATGTACCATAGGTATTAGGCTTACTGGTCTTCTTGAATAAGGGCACAACATTCCCTACCCTCCAGTTTTCTGGGACCTCAGCCATGGCTAACGATGATGCAGATATCAGCCAGGGCCCCTGCAATTTCTTCTCTAGTCTGTCGCAGGGTTCTTGGATATATCTGATCAGGACCAGGAGATTTATGCACTTTCATACATTCTGATATTTCCAAAACCATCTCTACTGTGATATGGACTGTCCCCAAGATATCGCCACTAACTTCAAGTTCCCAAGTCTTCATGTCTTTCTCCATGGTAAACACAGAGGAAAAATATTCCTTGAGAACCTTGCCCATCTCCTGCAGTTCAACACATACATGTCCACTTTGGTCCTTGAGGGCTCCTATTTTCTCCCTAGTTGTTCTTTTTCCTTTAATACACTTGATGAATTTCTCTGGATTCATCCTAATTTTCTCCAGCAAAGCTATCTCGTGCCCTCTTTACACTCTCCTGATTTCCTTCTTCAGTAAACTCCTGTACCCCCTATATACCTCCAGGGATTCCCTTGATCCCAGCTGCCTGTACCTGAGCCATGCCTCCTCCTTTTTTCTGCTTAAAGCCTCAATATTTTTGTCATCCAGTGTTCCCTACTCCTACCAACCTTGCCTATCACCCTCATAGGAACATATAGATCTTGAACGCTAGCTATCACACTTTTAAAGACGTCTCACTTGCCAGAGGTTCCTTTGCCTGCAAATAAACTACTCCAATCAACCCCTGCAAGCTCCTGTCTAATTCCATCAAATTCACCTTGCCCCAATTTAGAACTTGACCCTGTGGAGCAATTTTGTCCCTGTCCATAACTATTTTAAAATTAATAGAACTATGGTCACTGGTCCCAAAGAGCTACCCCACTGTCACCTCGTTCACCTGCCCTGCCTGCCCTATTTCCCAAGAGTAGGTCGAGTTTTGCCCGTTCCCGAGGAGCACCCTCTCTATACTGCTTGAGGAAACTTTCTTGAACACATTTAACAAATTCCACCTCATCTAAGCTCTTAACACTATGGCAGTCCCAGACTATGTTTCGGAAAATTAAAACCCCCCACTACGATGATCCTATTGCTCCAGTAAGTCTCCCAATTTCTCTGCATATTTGTTCCTCTAATTCCTGTTGACTATTTGGGGGCCTATAGTACAATCCCAATATCTTCACCATCCCTGCTTATTTCTTACTTCCACCTACAAAGCCTCAGTGGATGATTCCTCAGCTATTTCATCTCTGACTACTGCTGTGATACTCCCCTCAATCAAAAATGCAACTCCCCCTCCCCTCTTTCCTCCACCTCTGTCCTGCCTAAAGCACCTGTACCATTGCACATTAAGCTCCCAGTCCTGTCACTCCCTTAGCCATGTTTCTGTAAGAAATCAGAGAAAATTGTTTAGGATGGTAATAAGAATTCTAAAACTTGTAGGAGTTAAGCAAACTTGGGTACAGACATTTTGATTACTCAATGTGCTCTGAATAAAGCAGGTGCAGTCTTGTCTGGGCTTGTGCCTATGTGGAAGGGCAGAAGCACTGCCTGGGTGGACTACATCACCATCTTGCTCCAGGACAATAGAACCTCAAATGGGGAAGCCTTGCACCCACACATCCTTGTGGTTTGCAATTGTATTGTGATCCAAAGCAACTCCATGAGAGAGGGCTGGAGTAGCTCAAGGCTGCTTCTTCTGCAAACAATGGTCCTGGTGTTTAGGTCCATATGCAAATCCCTCATTTCTGCATCATGTGCAGCAACCTTCATGTAGAATCAAAACAAAAACAGAAGTTGCTGGAAGCTCAACAGGTCTGGCAGCATCTGTGAAGAAAAAAAAAATCAGAATTAACATTTTGGGTCCGGTGACCCTTCCTCAGAACTGATTGAAGCTGGGAAAACATCGGTTTATATGCAGAAAATAGGGAGGGGGTTGGGGTAGGGAGTAAATGACAGGATAAAGCCCAAAGAGAGAGAAGAGCAGTTGGATAGACAAAAGAGTTGATAACGATCTGGCTAGGAAGATGAGTAGCTGGGGTAGTGTGTAATGGCAGGCTATGTGATAACAAGACCTGGTGTTTATGGTAGGGGGCTAGGACATGGGAGAATTTAGGCCCTAATATTACTTCATGTAGAATTCCTACAGTGCTTAAATAAACCATTCAGCCCATTGAGTCTGCTCCAACCCTCCAAACAGCATCCTTCGCAGGCCACCCACCCCCATAACCCCCATAACCCCGCACTTACCATGGCTCATGCAGCTAACCTGCACATCTTTGGACTAATGGCGGAAACCGACGCAGACACAGGGAGGTACCAATCGAACCCGAACCCGGGTCCCTGGTAGCAGTACTAACCACTTTACCACCGTGTACCCAACGACAAAATGTCCCGCTCGTTAACGGTCTCTGGTCAGCCTCTCGCTGCAGAGCCCAGTGCGCAGGCGCAGCAATGGGCTGAACTCTGAGCATGCTCAGTATTCGTCATGGGGTCAGCCTGAGGAGGAGGCGATGGTTCGGGCGGCGGGAGGAGAATGCGAGACAGGTTAGGAATAGAAGCGGCAGCACTGGGGCCTAGCAACTTTATCAACAACCGAGGCCCTGAACAAGAGACCATAGGTCCCCTGTTTACACCGCAGGCGGGGACAGCTTCCCCGGGGGACGGGGATACCGTAGCCGCCATCTTGTAGGAATCTGGGTGGCGGGGGTGCCTCAAGGAAGGGCCTAGGTTACCCAGGCAACCGCCCGCCATCTTGGTGAGGGAATCCGGTGTATACCAAGAGAGACACGGGATTTCCAGATTTAGGGTGATGATGTCAGAAAAAATCAGCTAGAATTGTCTGTTCTGAATTTCTGTACTGTGCATATCGTCACGATTTTTTTTCAACTGCCTCTTTACAAGGTGTCAAGGGGAAGAAACAGGAAAACCAAATCAAACCACTTCAAAACACGACGGAGTCACTGGATTCAAAAAGACCCGACTATGATCTGCCTTTGAATTTGGAAGGACAAATGCTTGTGTGTTCTGTCTTTGGGAATAGATTTCGGACTTTGGTGTGAGTGTGAAAGCATTGAGACTCTCACAATCTCCTGAGTGAGAGTGCTCTAACAAACTGACTGTGGAAAGAGCTTTAACTAATTATACAGCCTGAAGACCCCATCACATCATTTACTGTGTTTATAAACATATTGTATACCTGAACAAGTTTCGAACTTCTCATTAAACCTGGAAAATACAAGGACACCAACAACATGGAGAAACCTTGGAAATGTGAGAACTGTGGAAAGGGATTTAGATACCCATCCAGGCTGGAATACCATCGACGCAGTCACATTGGGCCTAGCACTGGACAGAAACCGTGGAAATGTGAGGATTGTGGCAAAGGATTTGATTATCCATGCCTGCTGGAAACCCATCGACGCAGTCACACTGGAGACAGGCCATTCATCTGCTCTGTGTGTGGAAAGGGATTTGCCAAGTCAGCCAGCCTCATGTTACACCAGCGAATTCACACTGAGGAGAGACCGTTCAGCTGCACTTATTGTGGAAAGAGGTTCAGACAGTCATCCACCCTCACTGCACACCAGCGAATTCACACTGGGGAAAAGCCGTTCACCTGTTCAATATGTGGGAAGAGATTCGCTCAGTCATCCAGCCTCCAGGCACATCAACAAATTCACGCCGGGAAGAAGCTATTCAATGGCACTTCCTGCAGAAAGAGGTTGAAGTCTTCAGCTGACCCGAGGTCACACCAGCAGAATGATCCTGGACAGAGGCCATTCACCTGTGCCATGTGTGGGAAGGGATTTACTCAGTCAGCCAGCCTCATGTTACACCAGAGAATTCATACTGAGGAGATGCCATTCAGTTGCACTCACTGTGGGAAGAGGTTCAGGTCTTCATCCAACCTCAATGCACACCAACGAGTTCACACTGGGGAGAAGCCATTCATCTGCTCCGAGTGTGGGATGGGATTCACACAGTCAGCAAACCTGGCTGTACACCAGCGAATTCACACTGAAGAGAAGCCATTCAATTGTACTCACTGTGGAAAGAATTTCCGGCAATCATCTACCCTCACTGCACACCTACGTACTCACACTGGAGAGAGACCATTCACCTGCTCAGAGTGTGGGAAGGGATTCACTCAGTCAGCCAGCCTCATGTTACATCAGCGAATTCATAATGGAGAGATGCTGTTTAGCTGCTCTTACTGTGGAAAGGGTTTCAGGCAGTCTTCTGACCTCACTGCACACCAGCGAGTTCATACTGGAGAGAAGCCATTCATCTGCCCTGTGTGTGGGAAAGGATTCACTCATTCATCTGGCCTTTGGTCACATAAGCGAGTTCACACTGGGGAGAGACAATTCAGCTGCATTGCCTGTGGAAAGAGGTTCAGGTCTGCATCTGACCTCAATGTACACAAGCGAGTTCATACCGGGGAGAGGCCATTCATCTGCTCCACATGTGGGAAGGGATTCACACGGTCATCCAATCTGCTGACACATCAGCAAATTCATAAGCGTCAGCAGAGTTTGGATTCTATTGTTAATCACATCCAGGTTTGATTATATGACAGTGTTTGATGTGGTTCTGCTGAATGTAACGACTTTGGTACTTGGCTGTGGTTGAATATTTTGGAACTGTTCCTGATTTGTGGGGTTGCAGTGTCCCTAGAAAAACACAATCTGCGATCTTTTCACTAAATTTAAGAACTCTCATTGGTAGGAACTTGATTATAATAAATTTATGAACTTTTACTTCAATCCAAAATTGACCTTTCGTGCAAATCTAAAAGTCTGAAAAATTTTCATTGACGAACATCTCCAATTAGAAAGTGTTGATAAATCTTTGCTGGCAATTCTTACTGACTTACACATGCTTTGCATTTTGAAATTAAATGATCAGAAACAAAACAAAAACAAAATTTGATATGTTTTCCAAGTGGAGCAATAAATGCGTTATCACTCAATGTTGATTTTAATAAAGTTTGGGAGGTGCAGAGTTCAATCATTTATGACGCAGCCGCAGCTACATTTGGTGAAGACAGAATCCATGTAAAAGACTGGTCTGAGACCTGCTGTGCATGGTGTCTGACATTGAAGGAAAAAGCAAAGCGCACCGGATATACAACATAAAACCAACATCTATGACATGAAATTACTTTAAAGTAGCTGAGACAATCATGTAAAAAGAAAGGGAGATATCATGCAAAGAAACACTGGATCAATCTCTGTCAAGAAATCCAAATTGCCTGTGACAGTGGAAATCTATGTCCTACATTTGTTGGGATCAAGAGAATGCTTGGTCCACCCAGCACTAAAGTTAGTGTCTTGAGATCAGGCGATGGTAAAATCCTCACTGACAGTAGTAAGTAGTTGTCCCACTGGGTTAAGCACTCCTTTGAACTGTACTCCTGTGACACAGATAAAGCCCAGTCTCCATTTGAAACTTTCCTTCAGCTTCTTATTGTAGTTGACTTGGATGCAGAACCTTCATCATCTGACCTGGAAAAAGTTGTTGATTGCTAAGCAAACAGAAAGGCCCCCAGCAAGGATGGAATCACAGCCAAACTACTCAAACACAGAAAGTTGCACCTAAGTTCCTCCTCCTCTGTTGGGACAGAGGATCTGTTCTATAGGTTACGCATGATGCAAAAATCATCACAATCTACAAAAACAATGGAATCAGAAGAGATTGCAACAATGACAGGGAAATCTCATTTCTTAGTGTCACAGGGAAGAACTTAGGGTCATGTTTAAAAGACTCCAGTTACTTACAGAGCTAGTCTACCCAGAAGCACAATGTGATTCCTGTGCTGACAGATAGACAGGATCTTCTCCATATACTAGGTACAAGAGAGGTTTATATTTGGAATAAAACAAAGAACTAATGATGTTGGACATTGAAAACACACAAAAACAGAAACTGCTAGAGAAGTTCGTCAGGTTTGTCAGCATTTGTGGAGAGAAAACAGAGTTAATGTTCCAAGTCTTCAGTTCTGAAGAAGGGTCACTGGACTCAAAACATTTGTTTTCTCATTTCAGATGCTGCCAGACCTGTGGAGTTTCTCCAGGAATTTCTGTTTTTATGAGTTTATAATTGGAGTTTAGTCTAAAATGCTACCAGCTTCTGTCCTGAGGAAAGTGAAATGTTATAACTTTTTATCTGTCATAACATATTGTCTATGTGTACTTTATAATTCATATATAAAGCTTTATTACTGTGTGAAAATAAGCCTTTATATATGATTTACAAAATACATATTGAATTGGAATAGGTATGCAAATGTTTGATTCCCCAAAAGGTGAGCTTCAGCTTTGAGGTTATGGTCTGGATGTCTCAAACTAAGAAATCCCAGCCTTTTAAAAAATTTTTCTTAGCGTAAGTTGGTTGAAGCTTTGTACTCCTGCAAAAGTGAACCTTTTTACTTTTTCTACAGTTATATTACAATCATTTGGAAAAGCCCTTGAAGACAGAACGAAAAATATCAAAGCTGAGAAAACGCCCAAAGGAATTGGAAAAAAATATGTATTAATATGAGGCTTATGCTCATTGATCTGAAGTTAAACTACGTAAAGTTGTTGAATGTTTGCTGCAACATTTGCGACCAAGCAGACAAGTTAACTCAGACCACTGACAAGACGGTGATCATTTGATTGGAAGACGTTGCCTTCTAAAGATTTGGTTTCATCCCATTTGTTGCTTTTCAAAACAAAATGTTTGAGAACAGGAGATATAGGAGTTATCTCAGAATTGAATGCAAGTACTTCAGTCTTCGATCTTCAAACACCATGTAATGTGAATATTAAATAATATTTTGATTGAGTTTTTTTAAAGGAGTGACAAAGACATTTGATGAAGGCAGTGCGGTAGACGACATCTATATGGAATTCAGCAAGGCATTCGACAAGGTTCCACATGGTAGGCTGCTTAGCAAGGTTAGATCACATGGAATCCAGAGGGAGCTAGCCAATTGGATACAAAATTGGCTTGAAGACCGGAGACAGAAGGTGGTGGTGGAGTGTTGTTTTGTTGCATTGGAGGCCTGTGACCAGCAGTGTGCAGCAAGGATTGGTGCTGGGTCCACTGCTTTTTGTCATTTATATAAATGATTTGGATGTGAATACATGATTAGTAAATTTGCAGATAACATCAAAATTGCTAGTGTAGTGGACAGTGAAGATAGTTATCTCAGAGTACAGTGGGACCTTAATCAGATGAGCCAATGGCTAAGGAGTGGCAGATGGATTTTACTATGATTTGTTTGAACTATGAGGTGTTGAATTTTGGTGGGGTAAATCAGGGCAGGACTTACCCAATTAATGGTAGGGCCCTGGGGAATGTTGCTGAACAAAAGGACCTTGGGGTGTAGGTGCATAGTTCCTTGGAAGTGGAGTTGCAGGTAGAAAGGTAGTGAAGAAGCCATTTGGTATGCTTACCTTTATTGGTTAGTGCACTGACTATAGGAATTGGAATGTCATGTTGCAGCTGTACAGGAAATTGGTTAGATCACTTTTAGAAAACTGATTTAATTCTGGTCTCCCTGCTATAGGGAAGTTGTTAAACTATAGGGTTCAGAAAAGATTTACAAGGATGAGTCAATACAGTGTGGAGCTGGAGGAACGCAGCAGGTCAGGCAGCGTCAGAGGAACAGCAGAGTCGACGTTTCGGGTCAGGACCCTTCATCAGGATTCCTTCATTCCCCTGCGCCCACACGTCAACGAACTCTGTACACGCCTGGATGTTGAACTCTTTTTCAGCCACCTCCGCACCTGTTTCTTTGACTGGGAGTCTAACACACACTGTATCAATCCCTTCTCCTGCTTCCAATAAACCCCATCCTCCTGGACACCACCCCACGGCCTTGTACCCTCCCTTGACCTCTTCATCTCCAACTGCCATCGCAGTATCAATCACCTCAATCTCTTCAGCCTCTCTCCATCGGAATGCACAGCCCTCCGTTCCAACCCCAATCTCACCATCAAACCTGTGGATGTGGGGGGTGCAGTAGTGGTATGGCGTACCGACCTTTACATCGTGGAGGCCAGGCACCAACTCGCTGACACCTCCTCCTACCGCTCCCTCAATTATGACCCCACCCCGATCACCAAACCATCGTCTCTCAGACCATTCATAACCTCATCACCTCAGGACAACTCCCCGCCCCTCCCACAGCTTCTAACCTCATCGTTCCCCAACCCCACATCACCCGGTTCTATCTCCTTCCCAAAATCCACAAACCTGACTGCCCTAGTTGATCCATTGTCTCTGCTTGCCCCATGCCCCACTGAACTTACCTCCGCTTATCTTAACTCTGTCTTTCCCCCCAATCAAGGAACTCTCCACCTGTGTTCGAGACACTGCCCATACCCTCCACCTCCTTTCAATTCCCTGGCCCACAAAAGTTCATCTTCACCATGGACATCCAATCCCTGTACACTTGTATCCCCCATGCAAATAACCTAAAAGCCCTCTGCTTCTTCCAATGTCCAATCAGTCCCCCTCCACTGACCCCCTCATCCACTTAACGAAACTTGTCCTTGCCCTTGACAACTTTTCCTTTAACTCCTCCCACTTCCTACAAACTAAAGAGGTGACTATGGGCACTCGTATGGGTCCAAGCTATGCCTGCCTGTTCGTTGAATGCATGGAACAGTCCCTCTTCCGCTGTTACACCGGCACAGACCCTCATCTCTTCCTCCCCTATATTGACTGAATTGGCACTGCCTTGTGCTTCCATGAGGAGCTTGAACAGTTCACCCCAACCTCAAATTCACCTGGACCATCTCTGATACTTCCCTCCCCATCCTGGACCTCCCCATCTACATATCTGGTAACCATCTCAGAACCGACATCTATTTCAAACCCACTGTCTCCCATAGCTACCATACCTACACCTCCTCTCACCCACCCTCCTGCAAGATTGTGATCCCTTACTCCCAATTCCTCCACCTCTGCCGCACCTGCTCCCAAAATGGAGTGTTCTATTCCCAGACATCCCAGATATCCTCCTATTTCAAAGACCACAACTTCCCCCCTCCATTGATTGAAAATGACCTCAACCGCATCTCTTGCATTTCCCACACTTTTGCCCTCAAACCCTCTTCCCCCAACAAAAATAAAGACAGAGTTCCCCGGTCCTTGCCTACCACCCCTCTAACCTCCGCAAGAGTCCTGATGAAGGGTCCCGACCTGAAACATTGACTCTCCTGCTCCTCCGATGCTGCCTGACCTGCTGTATTCCTCCAGCTCCACACTGTATTGACTCTGACTCCGGCATCTGCAGTTCCTGCTATCTCCGAAGATTTACAAGGATGTTGCCAGGAGGAGGGTTTGAGCTATGGGAAGAGACTGAATAGGCTGGGGCTTTTTTTGTTGGAGCATTGGAGGCTGAGGGGTGACCTTATAGAGGTTTATAAAATCATCCATGCATAGGGTGAACTGCCAAGGTCTTTTACCCAGGGTGGGAAGTCCAAAACTAGAGGGCATAGCTTTAAAGTGAAAGGGGAAGATTTAAAAGGGACCTTTGAAGGGGCAGAGAGTGGTGTGCCTATCGAATGAGCTGCCGGAGGAAGACATCTGGATGGGTATGTGAATAGGAAAAGTTTAAAGGAAAATGGGCCAAATGCTGGGAAATGGAAACAGATCAGTTTAGGATATCTGGTCAGTTTGGACTGGTTGGACCAAAGGGTTTGTTTCGGTGCTGTATAGGTCTCTGACTCTATGTCAGTAAAGTTCCATCAGAGCTTCTGACAGAGAATTG